GGTGAGTTCTAGTCCCACTTTAGGCATAGAAGCCAGCCGGATGATCTTCGTCAGGCAAGTCATCAGGCGACTGGGATTTCTAGTCCCGCCTTAGCTAGGAAAGCCGGCTGGGTGTCTTTGGGCTAGTCAACCCAGCCCCCCCTCACAGGGTTGTCGTCGTGTGGAAAAGACGAACAAGAAAGTGTGTTGGATACGTTCTTCGCCTGGAGTTTATTTGTAGAAATAACCAAAGTGGGATAGCAATTCAACAGATCGCTAAACCCGGAGGCAGAATTCCGAGAGTCCTTAAGTCACCAGGACACGCTGGCTCTTCTTTGGGGCAGGTCATCCTGGACCAGATGGGAATGCCGTGTTTGCAGAACTCTCACGAGGAAATCCTGGAGGAGTTACGCAACAGCAGCATTGCGATGTCGGATCTGGCGGAGAGACAGTGGTACTTTCAGACCTGCACGGAATTTGGCTATTGTACGTGAGCATTGAAAGCATCCGGATTCCTTTCCCATCCTCCCCAGGCTGTTTCCGGTGTGCTGTGGCTGTCTTGCCTCCCCCTCCCCCTCCCTCCCTCTCCCTCTCCCCCCTTTGTCTCTCTCTCCTTCTCCCTCCCTCCCTCTCCCTCTGCCCCCTTTGTCTCTCTCTCCGCCTTCCTCCCCCTCCCTGCCTCCCCCTCCCTCTCTTCCTCCCTCCCTCTCTCCCTCTTCCTCCCCCTCCCTCTCCCCCGTCCCCCTCTCCTTGTTCCTAGGTTACCTTCTCTCTCTCTCTCTCTGCTCTGGAGAATGACCTAACTCCCCTCTTCTTTATGGCAGCCCCTCAGATATTGGAACCCTGCTTTCACGTCCCCCCCACCCAATCCTTCTTTTCATTAAACTAGACATTCCCAGTTCCTGCAACTGGTCTTCGTATGTTTTACCCGCTCATCCCCTCATCCTCGTTGTGGCTCTTCTCTGCACTCTTTGGCCGCCTTCCCAAGGCATTATAAAGCGATACTGAGGCCTCGCTTGATCTTGATTCTATCCCTCAGTGTAAACCGCGTAAGGTAAAAGGAAAAAGTTCCCCTCCTTCCACATCCGTACTAGTCGTTTCCGGCTCTAGGGGGCGCTGGTGCTCACCTCCGTCACAAAGCTGAAGATCCAGCGCTGTCCAGAGACGTCTCCGTGGTCATGTGGCCGGCATGACTCAACGCCTTCGAAGGCGCACGGAACGCTGTTCCCTTCCCACCAAAGTGGTCCCTATTTTTCTACTTGCATTTTTTTTACATGCTTTCGAACTGCTAGGTTGGCAGAAGATGGGACAAGTAACGGGAGCTCACTCCGTGACGCGGTGCTAGGGGTTCGAACCACCAAACTGCTGGCCTTTCCGATCGACAAGCTCAGTGTCTTAGCCACTGAGCCACTGCATCCCCCTTTTGCAACTGTGTAGTAAATCCCATTTCAAAACGGCTTCTCCTCCCACTTTAGACCAGACCTGCGAGGACCCAGAATGCCCCTTTTCTCCCCGGATGAGCTTGGCCTACCAGTTAGATATCTGCACTCAAGTCTTCAACATCTCTTATCGCAATGTCAGCGAAGGCGTCTCTTTCACCAACGACTATTACGGGGCCGATCATCCCAAAGCAAGCCGGGTTCTTTTTGTTAACGGTACGTCGGCGTGTCACCTCAAAAATATTTCTTCCGTCTTTTAAAGTTGCCAGCAGAAAGGGAGTGGGGGAAAGCAGTGCATTCCTTAAATGCTTCAGATAATTGCTAGGCAGTCGAAGCTGTTGGCACGCAAGATTATTACTGGAGAGCATGATTGATGATTCTTGGCTATGGATGTGTCCCATTGGAGAATATGCATCCAGAGGGTGGAGGGAAGACCAGAGTCAAGGGAGAAATGAATGATGTGGCTTAGAGTCGGTTGCGCCCAGTTAACGCCAACATGGTCACTCCTAATAAATGATTTTTTTAAAAACTCTTGAGAGATGTGGCTAGAGACATATGATTTGAATGGGGGTGGATTGTTGGAACCCTGACACTCTGCTTTTGAAAGGGCAAGGGTCTCCAAATTTGGCAAGTTTTAAGACTTGTGGACTTCCAACTCTCAGAATTCCTGAGTTAACCTGCCTGGAGGAGGAATTCTGGGAATTGAAGTCCACAAGTCTTAAAGCTGTCAAGTTTGGGGACCCCTGTGAAAGGGCTAAGTGGGATTGGAACTGGCAAACAATAGGAGATCCCAAGAAGGTTGGAAAAACCCTTCTGCCAAGACACGGCAACGTGGGCACCGAGGTGGACGGGAAGTTGCCAGCAGCCAAACGTGATGTCTAGAGTGGATTTTATTTGGCTGAGAATGGGAAAACACACCAGCTCATTAATAAAGGAGAATATTTGTAACTCAGGGCTGACCTGAGGGATCCTTGGTGCTCTCTGAGCTTGATTGTTTTCTTGCAGACCTTTTATGACCCAGCTAGGTAACAGCATCAGTGCTAGAAGGGAGTGAGGTTTGTAAAGAGGAGGAGGAAGAGGAAGAACGGGGGGAGGAGGAGGAGGAGGAAAAAAAATAGCAATAATAATAATCCCAATTGTAATTGGAGCCCTTGGAGCAATACCTAAAGGGCTGCCTTGGTATTTGGAAATTCTGAATTTATCAGACTTGAATACCCTGATTCTACAAAAAAACCCACCCTACCTGGAACAGCTGAGATACTCCTATGCTACCTGAACAGTTCCTAGGTCCTGGGTTAGGACTGGAACTGTTGAGCTACCAACCAGCCCCAAAGGCTCTGAATCTCACTAAAGATTAGATGAAGATGAAGATGATAGTCCTTGTTGGTCTCTGGGCTTGGTTGTTTTCTTGCAGACAAAACTAGGTAACATCATCAGTTCTGGAAGGGAGTGGGGCTTGAAGAGGAGGAGGAATAATGTGAGGTCTTTGGTGGTCTCTGAGCTTGCTTCTTTTTCTTGCAAACATTATATGACCCAAACCAGGTAGCCTCGTCAGTGCTAGGAGTAACACTCGTGTTGTTCCCTACTTTGGGTCCCGAAATGTCTGCAAGGAAACAGCCAAGCTCAAACCAACTCACAGTTAAAAAAAACACAGCGTGGGAGAGAACTTAGCCGATTTTTAGCAATTTGTGCTTTGCAACACAGTACCAGATGTATTTTAGGCCTGGTGTCAGACAAGTCCTCATCTTACGACCGTAACTGAGCCCCAAATCCCTGCCTGAGACGGACTGATTTTTTCCCCCCGCTTTCCTTTTCAACATTTCGCAGGCGACATCGACCCTTGGCATGCCCTGAGTGTCCTCAAGAACGAGTCCGCCTCGGAACTGGCCATTTTAATCAACGGCACTTCGCACTGTGCCAACATGTATTCTCCTGCACCCGGGGACCCTTGGTCCCTTATCCGGGCCAGACAGGTGAGACTGGCGAAGGAGGCTGAAGCAAACAGACGGGAAGGTTGTGTGGGAAATGCAGCAGGTGGCATAATAAATAATTTTAAAAAAACCACAATAAGTAGTCTGAAACCGAGACTTTTGTGAGGTGTTCGCACCAGGGCTTCAATTTGAGGGCAAGTTGAACATTTTCCAAATGAAAATAAATCACTCAAATGGTTAGCACCAGCTAGAAACTGGGAGGCTGGAAGTTCTAGTTCTACTTTAGGCATGAAAGCCGGCTGGGTGGCTTTGGACCAATCAACAGAAGATAGTAGTTGTAGTCCCGCCTTACGGGTGAAAGCTGGTTGGGTGACTTTGGGCCAATCACTAGGAGACAGGGAATTCTAGTCCTGCCTTAGGCATTGAAAGCCAGGTGGGTGACTTTGGGTCAGTCCCCCTCTTCTCAGCCCAAACCACCTCACAGGATTGTTGTTTTGGGAAAAAGAGGAAGGAGTAGTATTCTGTATATTTTGCAGCCTTGAGTTATTTATAAAAATAATAAAGGCAGGTAGAAATGAATAAATAGAGGAGGAAGCAAGTAAGAACAGAAGATTGGCAAAGAATCAGCTGAGAAAGACAAACTAATACTTCTTTGAAGTTAATAAAATTTTTCTCTATTTTTTTCTTTTCCTTTCTTTCTTTAGCAAATTACCGCCTGGGTTGGCAAATGGCTGAATTTAGCAAAAATTCCCTGAGATAACCTGAAGACAAGAAAGAAAAGTAGCCGGACCATTTTGTGTAGCTAGAGATACGAAGCAACGCTGTTTGGACTTGCCTTCACTTAGAGATTTGCACGAAATTCCTTCGGCACACAAGAAAACTACCTCTTTTGCCACCTTGGCTCTGCTTTTTAACTTTTTTATAAAAATAAAAAAAAAACCACTATTTTGTAAATGCACATTTTTAAAAAAAAATGATTGAATGAACTCTGTGGATCTTGGCTGACTTAGCCTGTAGCACGAGGCCCTCACCGGGCTGGTACCTATTGGGACAAAATGTAAATTTATTACAATAAGAAATAAAGTTGATAAACTGTAGTTAAGTGGCTTTTTTTGGTGGCGGGGAGGAAATCTATGACCTGGATCGTTGTGCAAATGAAGTCATACCTACTTAAGTAAAAGGAAGCTAGAGAGGAAATGGAATACTGCTAAAAGGTATAAATAACCAAATTTTAATCTCGTGAAGGCGGAGAAGAACCTGATGTTCGCAGAGAATCAGCAGCATACAGAGAGAGAGACCCAAATTGTGAATATCTAGGCAATACCTTCTCTTACGGCCTACGGCCATCTCAGTAGACTTAACACCTGGGAAAAGTTTTCTTAAGAGTTCAAACAGGAAGTTGTCTTTTCTTTCAGATGGTCAGTTCAAAAGCTGCTTCATGCTGGCTCTTCCGCGTTGGTTTCCTGTCTCCGGCTCGGTTGGCATCCTCTGCTGCCAGCTCCTCCTTTGAGAAGTTCACCATTTCTTGATGTAACTCGCTGAGATCCTGGATCTCCAAGGCAAGGACGTAGAGATGATGAAAAAGGATTAGGTCGCTCCTTCGCAGACGCAGCTGGGAAGAGGGAATGCCAAACAAAACAGCTTTTATTATTTACCAAGGACCTGGATCAGGGGTGGGATTTACCGGTTCTGTCCGGCTCTGTAGAACCGGTAGCTCTGAAGAGGAGCAGACATAGAACCGGTTCTGTGTCTGCTGCTGTTTTGGCCCATCCGCCCGCCTGGGCTCTTACTTGACTTTTATTTCCTGATTTTTCGACCTCAGCTGCTGTGCGAGGCACAACTGCAGTTAAAAAAGCAGGGGAAAAAAGTGCTTTTTCAAACGTTGCTTCCCTGCACGCAGTGCTGCTCAGATGCCCAGGCAGCAAGCTGATGAAGATTTACACGTGTGCAGCGTGCAGGGAAACACATCATAAATCACCAAATTGGTAGTTAACCCTGTCGGATCCCACCCCTGACCGGGAATGTTTTGGGGGGAGTCCTCTCTGGAAAGAATAACTTTTACTGTTTTATCTGGATATATTAAAAAAATTCAAAAAGAGGTAGAAATGGGAAATTGAGGGAAGGAAAAAGAGAAGGGAAAATAAAATGTAAGATACAAGGGGAAAAAAGAAAAAGAAAAAGGCATTGACTTCTGACTCTTTAACATAATAGATTCCAGCCTCAACTTTGTGCTTTTACACATTAGTATATAACTAGCCATTTTTATAACAACAAATCTAATTGACTAAAAGCAAAGTCAAAGGTTCATTTTTTTCCCCACTATTACAAGCACAAAATGCCTTTGGAAAGGAATAACATAAAAGCATCTTGGGGTGGAGAATTGCCAATCTGTGTTTGGATAAGAAATCCGTATAGATAAAAACGGGGATATTTGGCACAGTTCCTTTACAGGCTTCCATGTCATTTCAGTTACTGAACAAGCTTGAACAATGGGTCCTATGCAACAAAACGATATTTAATGTGGAGAAAAGCAAGACTGTACACCTCAGCAGGGAAAAAACAAAGGTACAAAGACAACTTAGGTGAAACCTGGCTCATGAGCAATAACTGTGAGAGGGACCTTGGAGTCCTAGTTAGATGATCAATTAAATATGAGCCAGCAATGTGTAGCAGCAGCCAAAAAAGCTAATACGATCCTTGGTGGTAAAAGAAACAGAGGCATAGAATCAAAATCACATGAAGTGTTAGCGGTACGCTTTATTAAAGCCTTAGTAAGGCCACACCTGGAATACTGCATCCAGTTTTGGTTACCAGGTTCCAAACAGGATGTTGAATCTTTTTCCATCTTTGGAAAAAAGTACAGAGACGAGCAACCAAGATGATGATTAAAGGCCTGGAGACTAAAACATATGAAGAACAGTTGCAGGAACTGGATATAGCTAGAGAAAAGAATGACGAAGGGGGACATGAAAGCAGCATTCCAGTATTTGAGGGGCTGCCACAGAGAAAAGGGGGTCAACTTATTTTCCAAAGCACCAGAAGGCAAAGACATATATTCCCTTCTATCAAAGATCTGCCTGTATGGTTGCTAAGAACAGATGCTGACTTGATCGCACATTGTCAATCAAAAAAATCTTCTAGAAAGCAACATCTTCTCGGACCTTTTTTGCCCCAAAGGGAAAACGGAGAATCTCACCATTTCTCTCTGCACCCAGAAGATTTTTCCATGGAGGCTGGTGTGTTCTCCCTCCAGGGGTTTGGCCTCTTCCTTGTCTGCCATCTCAGGGAGAGGTTCGTGAGACAGGTGAGCCCCCAGAAACGCTTTAGGTAAGGGGGGCAACCCTTTGAAGGGAGCTGCTTCCTCTTCCCTGGTCCAGGTGTCCATGGAGATGGGTTGGGCAATTTGGGTTCCTCTTTCACAGCGACCTGAGAAAAGATGGCAGGGTTTGTTTAATTCAAGAGCCTTCCAACTTGGCAACCTTTAAGACCTGTGGACTTCAACTCCCAGAATTCCTGGGCTAACATGACTGGAGGAG